CGCCCCGCCCCTTTGGACATAATCTCTGATCTCATGCCATGTCCATGCAACACGCGCGCACACACATACATTCAGAGTGGAACGCTCGCACATGCTACATGCAAGGAACGAGTGTCAATCAATGTTTGTGTGCTATTGGCAGGCCGCGACATCTTGGTCATCATTGGCGTCTTGCACTTTTCCTGATCCTCTCTGCGGTTCACATTGTTGCGAACTCTGATTTTGAGGCCACCAAGCTCTTCAGTTCCCTTGAGACTATGCGCCTTGGGTGGGGGGCAGGGTTTTCAAGGGTCCCCGGAGTTTGTTCTGGTTCTGTTGGGCGGTTTAGGCGTACAGGGTTTGCCCGATCCTTAGGCGGTTGTCAGTGCACACCCATACCCAGTAGGATTTTGTAGGACTGGCTTGACCCTTTACGTAGGACTGGCTTGACCCTCTAGCTTTGGGTCTTACCAGATCCCGATCCCCGAAAGACCCCCCGACCCTTTAATCTCTAGACATATGCTCCCCAACTCCCTAAGCAGAGCGGACTGCGTCTTTGGCTTCCCGGAGCGTGCTATCCTCGACAAGCCCGGGGGCTACTTTGGTTTAGCTTCATCCTGGCCTTGAACCTTGCAGTCTTTTCCCCCTTCAATTTTATCCGTGCCCGCGTGGTCAGGTTTGCGTCCGTGTTCTCGTCCAGATGGAAGATCTGCCGGCTTTGTGGAGTGTCCAGGCATGCCACAGATCTGCATACGCACGCGCACACACAGAGCACGCAACCACAGCCAACCACATGCTCACCGGCCCGCCGCGTACCAGCATGCTACATCAGACATTACATGCGCTGCGTCATTAACGTGAGGTTCGACATGTCTTGCCCTTCACGGCTCAGGGCCTGCCGAGGCCTTTCAGGAGCCTCCCGGGAGCCTGTCAGGGCTTGGGAGGGCCTGGGAAGGCCACGGAAGGCGAGGACTCGCATTATACACAAGTCAGATTCGCCTCATACACAAGTCAGATTAATTTTAAGCACGAGTCTGATTCGCCTTATACCCAAGTCAGATTGGCCTCATACACAAGTCCGATTGACCTTATACACAAGTCAGACTGACCTGATACACAAGTCAGAATGACCTTATACACAAGTCAGATTCGCCTTAACTGTGCATAGGGCAAATCACTTGTGTGCAAGGCAAATTGGATTTTAAAACTTGATTTAAGGTAAGATATACCTTATACACAAGTAGATTCGCCTTATACACAAATCCTTAAACACAAGTCCGAAATAAAATTTACCTTATACACAACTGATTCCGCTTGAACTTATACACAGTGGATTCGCCTTTTACACAAGTAGACTCGTCTACACACGGCAGATTTGCGTTAAACGCAAATGCCATTAATGTTTAGATATCTATAGGTGAGAGAGGGCTTTAAGGTTTAGGGTTTAGGGTTGACGGTTTAGGGTTTAGGGCTTAGGGTTGCGGGTTAGGTTTTAGGGGTTTAGGTTTAGGGTTTAGGATTTAAGGTTAAGGTTCAGGGTTTACTGTTGTTTGATGTGCAACTCCAGCCACCAACCCTTCTCAAAGATAACCACCCAAGTCCCGTGGAAGTCCCCCGCATGATCCTCGCAATCCCCCGGTGACTTTTTGATGTAGATGTATTTACCCTAAACCCTGAATAGTAGTCTCCGCTTTATTCTCCATTCTTCCAATATAACCCCACTATAACCCCAACATAATGGATTGAAGCCTTGAGCTGGAGAGACCCCATGAGTTGCAGGCCTTGCAAAGCTGGGCACCCTCAGAAGCACTGGGGGAGGACCCAGAATGCCTGATCTGGGAAACTTAAAGGGGATATAGGGGTTATTTGGGGTTACATAGGGCTTATATTGGGGGTTATATAGGGATGTATCGGGTTTTGGGTTTAAGGTTTCCCAAAATTAGGGTTACTTTTTTGCAGTTCTCCATAAAAAATGGCGATCGTATTTTGGGAGTCTATATTGGGGCTTGGGGTCCCGTTATTCAGGGAAACTACCAAGTTGAATTGGGATGTTTCTCTAAAAAGCATGTCCGGTTTACTTCTACATCTTGGGTCCATACGGCCTCGAAAAACCTAATCTCATTTGGACGGAGCGCCAAAGGATCACTGTTCCATTGGGCCCGGGCCACTTTCGTAAAACCTTCTCGGAGTCATCTTATTTCAGGGATATCAAAGGCATCAACAACGTCATAAGAACTTTGTTCCCGGCTGCATAGTTTCTACCGTGTAAACGCCCCTTCGGGGCATTTCCCCATAGCATAAGATCCTGAAGAAGTTCCATCATGGCTTCTTCAGTAGTCCTAAGGATCATTCGGCGGTCTAGTGCAGCTCCTAGGTCGCATCGTCCTTCATGGGACTGCCAGTCTATGGGACAGGACCTTCAACCTAAATTCTTAATCCCGGACCGAAAACATTCAGTCCTAGACCCCATCCTACCTAGGATAGAAGTTTACCTCCACTGTCATTTCCCGACCGCACCTCTTCTGGCACCATTCTGCAGCATGTAGCCCTAAACCCCACACCCTGGACCTTGAAATCCTGCTTTTGAGTTGGCGCCTCAGCGCGCCTTCGCTGACCGTGCGCGGCCGTAGCAAAGAACCCCCTCTTGATTGCCGAGGCCTTTAATCCCAGTGTAGTAGTAGTTTCTATTTTCTTTTCCAATACCTTTATACAATAACCCATAATATACTAATAGATACTACAAGATACTATAATGTATTATAGTATTTTAATGATTATAATATATTATAATACCCTCAACAACCCTGAGTCCTTTGAGTGGTTTGTTTCAGGAGGCCACCAGCCTCTATGACTCCTTGGTTATGCTGGCCCCCAGCCGGTGCCCCAAAAATCCTGTCTTGGCTGTCGAGTTTATGGCTTAAGGCCTAGAAGGTTTAGGATCGATGGCTGCGATTTTGAACCCTAAATAGTAGTTTCCATTTAATTTTCCATTATCTCAATATGACCCTAATGTAGATTTAATACTTCGAGGCTTGGCTGCAGCGATCGCTTGAAATCCCTCAAGTTGTGCTACCTTGCACCAACCGTCAGGCATTGTGGATATAGGAGGGCCGACTGCCCAGGCCTTGTGTTTCTTCTTTAAAAGACTGTCACTCTACCCTGTGGCCTGATCCCAATGTGCGCCCTACGGAATCCGAGTCCCCAATCCCAAGCCGTTCAGTCAAGGCTGGAAAGCGGAGCGTCGACGCGGCCTCCTTTCACGGCTGCAGCCCGACCGCGCGGCCTACTGGATGGGTGCACGGGCCTTGTCACCCTGGGCTTAGTCAGTGGTTAACCTTAGTAGCCTTAGTACTTTAAGTTTTAGATTTCAAGGTAGTCTTGGGTTTGAGGCATAATGTTTGTGAAGCTTGCCGTTTGGGGTGGTGGACGGAGGACATCCTGTCTGCTCTTCTGAAGCATTGTAGTGCCTAGTGCCTAGGTTCTTGAAGTTGAGGGATCCCTTTCAGTTCTATATCCCTAAAACAACCTTACAAATTCCAGCATCCGCTTCATGTTCCATGTTCCGTTTGATTTTTCGATGATTGGGGTAGTATACATTAATAGGGATAATAAGATTAAGACCCTTAAAAGGAGGGGGTTTAATAATCACGGGTCTACATTATACTCATACCCATTTTTAGATTAAGGTAACAAGTCTCAGGTTTAGTCTTCCAAGGTTCCCACTGTTGTTATGCCCCGGGTAAGCCGCATATAGTCCGATACAATCCCCGTATAGTCCCCATGGAAGTTGTATACAGCGCTGGAAGAGCCCTGCATGATTTGAGATCCCAGACCTTCACATCCTAAATCCTGGACGATGACGTCCTGGGCGCTAAGATCCCCTTGCCTCAGGGTTTGGAATCCTGCGCCTTCCAGGTACAACCCTAAAGTTCTGTGCGTAAAGCCCAGAGCCTCCCACCTCCACCTCGGACTAGGCATGTTTGTCAACTTGGAGCCTCCCATTTGCATGTCACTGTTTGGGGGAACACTGCAAAACGCAAAAGCCATGTCTGAAATGGCCGAAAGTGTTTGCCGTCGCACCAGACGCAGCATTTGGCTTCATCTCAACATGGGGCCACAGGGCATGGTGCCTGGCAAGCGAATTCGATAGCCGGATGGCGAGCGGTCACCCGGCACGAGGTTTTTCTGATTCTACAGGGTTCTGGGTTCAGGCTTCCAAGGGTTGTGGGGTTCTGGCTTTGGGTTTTTGGGCTTTAGGTTCCGGACGTCTAAGTTTAAAGTTTAGAGATTTGTCATGCCAGTGGGTTAGCGTTCAGGATTTTTGGTCCAGGGGTTTCGGGTTTCAGAAGTTCAGGTTTGTGGGGGCGGGGCCTCCAGGGGTTGAGGGGTCAGGGGCAAATCTGTGCTGCATTGTGGCAACCCACCTAGACACTAAACCTCTTTCCATTGTCACAGGACGGATCTACAGGATGATAAACAACATGGATATCTCGACGTTTACAACCCAGACCTAAGCTCTACACCTAGACTGTACTTTCTTGGGGTGAGTAGGGAACATGATATAGAGTGTAGTGTTTAGGGCTTAGGCTAAGTAGGGAATAAGGGAGTATCTGCTATGGGGATTATAATCAGGATTATATTGCCATCTTCCCCTATAAACGCCAGTAAGTAGATCTATAGGACAACATCCTCTATTTTCTCCTGCAAGTAAGTTTGTTGAGCACTGGGCTGCAAGGCCATCCTGGGCGATTACCTGGCCAAGTGACTTTGGGCTATAACTACCAAGCGAATGCATCACCGAGCTTCTGCCTGATAGTTGGAGGGTTTCGGGTTTAGGCTGAGGGTTTAAGGTTTCAAGGTTTAGGGTTCAGGGTTTAGGTCTGAGACAACTACCAGTACCGAAAGGCTTCCCATGTACCCCTATACGGCCTTGAACAACCAATCCGTCGTAACAATTAGCAGGGTGGGTAGCTCTCCTGTAGTTGGCCCAGTGAATAGGCATAATGATGGGCTAGCAGAGGATGAAGTTGCGGAAGTACGGAGATGATGAAGGGATGACAGAAGGGGCTGGGGGGGTGGGATGGAGGCTTTTACTTTTTCAAGAGTTTGGCCAAAGTGACAATCTCCTGGTGTCTTTTGTGCTTGATTTGAGGTGATGGACCGTCCTCATGTTTTTGAAGTACCCGGGATGTGAAGGCAGGAGCACATGGTACTTTCCTCAAATCAGGACCCCCCCCCAATATAAACCCCCAAGTACTACAGTCCTTAGTATGGGGACCCCCGGAAAGGTACCCCCCTCCCCAATTTTGGGAAATCCCCACATATTTAGTATGACATTGAGCCAAGGATACCTCCGAGCGCCGAGGCTTTCCAGTTGAAGTCTGAGATTGAAGAGCTGTTGGTCAAGCTGCGTAAGGCGCTGCACTTTGTTTGCGAGGAGCTGCGGCGCACTCACAAGTGCAATAAGCATTTGGAGGAGCGTCAAAACGACCTTGCAGCTGAGCTGGAAGAGCTGAAGTCGCAGTCTGGACGGCCTACACGACCGGGCGGTGCTGTGAAGGTGAACGAGCACCTCAATCAGCACATCACTGTGCCCTCATCTGCGGTGCCACTGCCGGTGCCGATAGCCCGCACACTGGCGTATCCGGCAAAACCGCCCCAAGCAGCACCGCCAGCACCGACTGCATCGCCTGCACTAGCTACGCAAACAGAGCCGGCCGCCTTAACCGCGCCAGTTCCCGTGGCAGCTGCCTCGACCTGCTCGTCCGTTCCCGCGGCATCCGAGACTCGGAACTCCGGCGACAGGGGCAAGCTTCGGGGATCCAGTGATCGGAGCCTGGGCTTATTCTTAAGGAACTTCAGTTAAGTTACCATAATATGGGCATGTAGTAGCTAATAGGGCTTCCCTATCATAGTCATGAAGTTTAAGGTCCTTAGCAGCAACCCAGGAGCTCCCAGGCTAGCAGCAGGCGCGTGACGCTCAAGCTGTCCAGGAATGTGCTGAGGAAGCTCTCGGCGATTGCCGGGCAGGCGCAGAAGGAGGAACCGGACAGTGACAGTGGCTCCGAAATCTTTGAGGCAAATAACCCTGAAGAGGTGGGAGTTTGGGAGTTTTGCAGAATTATCCAAACAAAATCCTTAGGAGTGACCACTCCGTGTGTATGCCTTTGTAATCCCCATACATCCCTAGCACGTGAAAAAGGGCCTTACTTGAGAAACCCTGATCACCAAACCCTACGCATTCTACGCCGAAGCCGGATATTCCTACAACCATCTCTGAAGAGTCTCTGAGAGCTCTGTTTCGAGGTTTTGGAGATGCAAAAGCTTCTCCAGCAACTGAGTTGGAAGTACGAGTACATGAACCTGGGTCTGATTTACACATAACAAGTGTTTTTAAGGCTTCGCAGTTTAGAGTTCAGAGTTTAGGGTTCCAGGTTTAGGGTTTAGAGTTCAGGGCTTAGGGCTTGGAATTGAAGGTTGGGGGCACGTAAGTCCAGAATTGATTTACAGAGCCTATAAGCATTGTAGTTCACAGTCCTTCTAGAAACTTTTCTGTCACCTGACATACATATATGTACACATACGCGCAACATGAACCATCTGGCTGTTTCCCAATATGACGCGTCAGGAGTTCATGAAAGGGCGCATGTTTGACTCCCCCGATACATACCCCGATACATACCTCGATACAAATATCGATACAAGCCCCGATACATACCCCCACAATGTCGCTCTCGTCAAGGGCCCAGCACTACAAACAATACACCGAAACATGCCTCGAAACATCCCCCGAAATATACCCCGAAACATACCCCCGAAACATACCCCAATGCAAACATGCTTTTTTGACCATGGTTTAGCCGCGGAAACACCCATCTAGAAACGATGCAGGTATGGACGCCTTAAACCCTTAGCAGCCAACTCTAAACCGAAACCCTAAACCTGAAGCCTACTTGGAGGTTCAGGGTAAGCATAGCCCAACTATAGCTGCACTTAAAACCCAACTATAACATATCACAACCATATCAGGGGGCCCACTGGGCTTATGACTGGATTATTGGATTATAAGTACTGTCATAGCTTGAACATGCACGTACAGGAACGAGGGAGACACGATGGTGGCTCAGCAGGAGGCAGGTGTCAAACCTTCCGGCGAAGAGGACCCTAAACCCTCAACCCTTAAACCCTTAACCCTGAAATCGAAAAAGCCTTAAAACCCCAAATCCGAAACCTTACTTAATCCCGAAACCCTAACCCCTTAACCCTAAACCCTAAAACCTGCACTCAGCTCAAGTTCTTGTCACCTCGGCTAATATGGGATGATGAACCTTAGCTATGGAGAATCAGATGGAAGAGAACATTGAACGTTACATGGAAGCTAAGGTTAGTTTATAGTTCATCTAGAGGTTGACCCTCTCCCTTGACGAGGCCTTCTGATAATGAATACACCCCATGTAGTACCATGATATAGCGAAGGTATACCCCTTGTTAGGTGTGTAGCGTGTTTGTTGTTAGGGTCATCTTGAAGTAGTTTCAGTGGATTTCTCTTTCTATCTCTTTTCACGGCGGGGCAGGCACGGAAGGCTCGGGATAGGCCCGAGGGAAGCATGCCACGTTTCAGCCCTGCTTTGGCAGAAGCATTTAGGGTTTTAGTCTAAACTCCTTAAAGGGGGGTTATATAGGGTATTATATAGGGGACTACTATAGGGGATATTAAGGGGGATACTAGGAGTTTAGATTATAGCTCATTTAGGGTTTTAGTCTCTAGGGCACAGTCTGTATTTTTAAGCAGTAGTGCTGATAGGAGCGACGGTAGCTGGAATGACAGACTAAGAAGATGCTACGGTTCAATCTGCAGCCGGGTTCTCAGAGGTAGACTATATGCAAGCATTGACACAGTAGCTGGTTAAAGATCCTACTCGGACCTACTTGAGGGCCATGTGTCAGACTCCGTGTCCCTCTGAAGTAAACCCTGAGTAGGATCTTTAGTTAGCTCATAATTGTAACCTCTTCTTAGACTATAGTAGCTTCCACTTTCTTTTCCATCATCCCTATATAACCCCTACATATCACACTATTATTTATAAAGAGACACCCTAGTTTTAGTTCTGAAGGACCCAGAGACGTCTCCATCCGTGCGAGCCTCGCTCTCCCGGAGGCTAACACCAGGCTGGCTGAAAGTGAGGGTTTAGGGTTTATGGATTCTGGGAGAAGAGTTTAGGGTTTGGGGATCAGGGTTTAGGGATTGAGGGTTTAGGGTTAAAGGATTCACTGTTAAGGGATTAGGGAAATGATGACTAAATGATGATGGACATGGTAATGGAAATGATAATGTGAATGACATTGTTACTTTGGGAAAGGTTTCGTACTCTTCTTCGGAAAAGAAAATGGACACAACTAATTCATTATCTTAGGGAGTTGGCTTCCTGCAGCTGCTACAAACGATCACTTAAATCCTAATCCTGGCGAAGATGGGTATTTCTCGAAATAACTTCTATAGAATCCCAAACAGGGACCCCGACTCCCCGAGGATCTCCTTAGAATCGTCCATCCCCTAGGGGTCCTTGTAGTATATTATATAGTATCTAATAGTAGGTTATAGGGTATAGTAGAGGGATAATGGAGAAGAAAAGGGAAACTACTATAATGGATTCCCAGTTTGAGAAACTCTCAAGCCACTAACCAGGGATCTCGGAAGACCAGACCGGATCACTGCCGCCACGGCGGCTGACCTTGTTCAACAGGTGACAGACTGAGCCAGAGTATGATATGTGGGGGTTAGGTCCTGTTAAGTATAATATAGGGGTTCTATAGGGATTACATCAGGGTTATATAGGGGTTAGAAAAGAATTTTGATAGGGCTAGGGGCTTTCCAAGGGTGACATAGGATTTCTGGTGTGGTTATGATTGCGGGATCAAAATTACGGTCCTTGTTAGTTTGGGTCCCTCTGGTATACTGCAGACTTTAAACTGCAGGGTGCGCGACAAAGGGATCATAGTCTTCACAACCCCCGGCATATGTTTGGCGTTGAAAGGGGCTACGGGGATGTACAGGGATTAGGGTTCAGCGATTAGGTTTAGGCAAGCTAAGGGCTTCTCAACATTGAGGTATACCATATGTGAGCGCTGTAAGGAGAACGTACGAGTGCCGCTCTAGGGACTCTTTCGAGACATTCCCATATGCGCCTACATGCCCCCGCTTTTTTTGCGGGGGTCCGCTTTTTATTTCGGGAGTGGAGTACACAGCTTTTGGAACTTGAACTGGGCTTGCGGACAACATTGGAACACACAAATTCGTGAGGGCCAGACATGCCGGGTTGTCGAGAGTTGTGCTGCAAACAAAGGTTCCCAAACTAGGTGATGTTCCAGCTGAGTAGATACATTTTACATTTCATGTTGAGATCGGAAGTTTGCAGAGATAGGAGGCCCGGATGCATCACCAAATACTTTGACCCCCGAAGTAAATATGTACGGAACCGCCCAAAAACGACCCCGTAATGACCTTAAACCCACACACTAAACCCTAGAAAAAAATCAAACCCCAAGCCCTAAACCCTCACCCCCAAAATTGTTCTGTGGTGAAGTCTGCCAGTCAGGTGAGATGGCTCTGCCGACCTTCGACACCCACCCGAGTTCTCACATAGGGTTAAAGGTTTGGGGCGTACGGAATAGGGATTAGGGTTCATAGGCATTAGGGATTAGGGTTTAGGGATTAGGCTTTAGGCTTTAGGCTTTAGGGTTTTGGGGCTTAGGCCTTAGGCTTTAGGGTTTAGGGTTTCGGGATTAGGGTTCAGGGTTTTGGGGTCATGGCCACACGTTTCGTTAATGACTTCTGACCTGGCTGGAGCTGAGCTGCAGCAAAAGAGCGTGTTTCCAGTCCAAGGATTTTAGAAGGGACCTCTAATACGGACCCTTAATCCCATTACCATATATAACCCTTATATAGTCAGTATATAACCCCTATATTCCTAGGTTACCTAGGAATATAGGGGTTTAGGTAGTCCCCATATTGACCCCCATAAGCTACAAGGGTCCCTATTAGGGGTCCCTCCAAAAGTCCTTCGAGTGTTTGACAAGGTCTGGGGGCTGAGCTTGAATTGCCTGCCTGGTGTGCATGGGAGAAGGGCTGCTACTGTTACGGAGGGTCTTGGGGTTAGGCCTTGGATGGTATTGGGTTTAGGGTTTTGGGTGTAGGGTTTAGGGCCTAGGGCCCTAATTCCTTTCCAAGCTCCAGGTAGTGGCTTGCGACTAAGCGGACTGAAGAAAAAACCCACAACATTCAGCCCCAAACCCAATCACGCTGCAAATGCACCCTAAGCACTGCACGTCCTGAACACCAAACACTGCAAACCCTAAGCCGTAAACAACAAGAAGCTGGCTCTTAGGCTTTGCTCCACACTGACTCCAGAGTGGGCCGCGTCTTCAGAAGGTCTCACTTTGGGTGCGGCTCCAAGATGACCTGTGTTCTGGGTTGCTGTTAAGGAATTTAAATTAAGTTACTATATTGGGGGAACCCTATTATTTACTAAATATACCCATTATGGTAACTTAATTTAAGTTCCTTAACAGCAACCCAGTATTTTCAAGGGGTACATTGCAGGGTTTGAGGATCTAGGGTTTTTGTCAAGGGATATTCTCGTCCAAACATGGAAGCCCACGTGAGCTAGCGTCCATATTGGGCCTGGCAGGGGATTATTTCGGGTGGACATACGGTCCCCTTTGGTAGTTTAGTGTCTATCCCCAATATAGGAGCCTATGTCCATTCATGACAGCGGAAATATAAGACATCCCCCTAAACCCTAAACCCTAAACCCTAAGCCCTAAACCCTAAACCGTGTGGGATCCTTCAACAAGCATGAAGACTATGACGGACTCCCTCTACAGGAGCCTTGCTCCCAAAGACTCGCAGAAACCTCCCCGAAGCCTCCCTAAGGGTGCGGACTTTTAGGCTTTGGAGTTCAGGACTTTGGGTTTAGGGTCTAGTGCTTCAGCAGGCCCCCTTATGCAAAACAGAATTTGCAGACTCCTTGTTTAGTCTTTAACCTGTGACAAGGCACTCCTTTTTTTTGGGAACCCCCGCTGCTTAGGGAGCCCACTATCCCTTAGTTAAGGAATATACCTTAGGTGGACCCCCCACCCAGTAATAGTGACTATATGGGATAATAAGGAGTATACTAGGGTCCTCTTATATTCCTACTATAGCGCTATTCCAGGGTGGGGGTCCTCCTAAAATGTACTTTGAATCATATAAAAGTACATTCCGAAAACAGGGCCCTCTAGATGACTGCCGAAGAAGTGGGAGAATGCCTCAGGAAGAAGAACGTCCAGCGCAACTTCGTGCATGCGGGGGCACCGGACGGAAATGAGGTGGCTTGAAACCATTTTTTTTGTTTTCCTTTCTGGGGTTTGGGGTCAGGATTAGAAAGATACACAATAGACATCGTACATAACGATGTCGAAAGAAGTGCTTGTTCTTAGATAAATCTTTGGTGACGAATCCCGAAGCAGTCCCTCTGTTTGGGAATGCCTGAACATCCACAGAATGCACACGAGGTTTTAAGCACAATTTCTCATATCCTGCAAGCCCTGAACTCCCCAGAGCCCTAAACCCTTAAACCCAATTCCTAAACCCTGAAGTCTAGCCCCTAAGCCCCAAAACCTCCCAAATTCCACAGTCTAGACCTCAAACCCTTGCGAAAGGAGAGGCTCTTCCAGTTGGCGTCCTGGTTTTTCCAGAGGCTAGACCTCATAATGTAATGACGGGATTCAGAGTTTAGGGTAGAGGGCGTGCGTGTTTTGCGTTTAGGTTTCAGGGATTTAGGGTTTAGGGTTTAGTGACATTACCCCCATCATGGAGAGTCAAATGAACAAGAAAATGGAACATGAAATGGAAGCTGGGCTCATTTTACGGATGTAGAGGGGTTCATACTTGAATCTTGAATGTTTGAAGACTCACGGGGAACCAAAAAAAGGCATAACTAGGACAGGCGCAATAGAGCCATACCTAAACCTTGCAGGTTCGAAGATTCATGGGTACTACTATAAAGGGGTATGACTGGGACAGCTGCAATGAGCATCTTATCGTTCAGGAGGCTCGCAAGCCCATTAGTTTAAGCTTCAGGGTCATGTTGCAGAACTTAAGTCCCAAACCCTAAACCTT